CGAGAGATACCTTTACTCATGCTCTCTGCTTGCTGAACGAACCCATTCATGGTGCGAAGGAAGAAGGCTGGGAAAGAGGAAGGGGTGGAGGGATGAGAGAGAAGAAGGGAGGAAGAAGAAGAAGAAGAATATAATAATAAATTATATGGGTTTTTATTTAAATAAGAAAAAAATGCATATGAAAAAAAAAATGCCATGTCATCAAGTTTATTTTCCACATAATTATTATTTTTAAAAAATATGTGATTTTGTGGCAAGATAACGTGCTACCTGTCATTTAACTGACGGAAGGACCATTTTGGTACCGAAAATGAAAGTTTGAGGATAATTTTGGTACTTTTTAAAGTTTAAGGACAATTTTGGTACCAAAGTGAGAAGTTGAGGGACCAAAATGGTACTTAAACCGAACCTCAATGTCATCAACATGAACATGCTTAGCAGGAGAGGCTACGGGTGTAGGGGTATTCTCTTTGTCTGGGCTTAGATCGATGAATTCATTCGGTCTAACTGTTCTAAAGCTTTTACTTGCTATGCGTGAAGAGAATCTAGAACCTCTAACCTTGGTGGCGGGTGAAGAACCATCGCCAGATTTGGTGTGAGAGGAGCCAGAATTGCTTCCATCACCCTCAGTAGGTATGTCCTCCACAGGAGCTTTCATGGCAGCAGGACCGAGGGGAACATCTTTTGTTTTGTCAAGTTGCGTCTCGGTTTCCGTGGCAGAAGAGGACCCCGAGGGAGAGGCAGATTTGATAAGTTTCTTGGCTGCAGATGGTTTTATTGCTGACCTCTTGATCCCTAAAAAAAAAAAAAGAAGAAAGAAAGTGAGTGTTAGCGGAAAACATGTCACGAAGTTGCAAGCCAAAGTGGATTTACCTCCGGTTCTTCGCTGCTTGGAGGGGGTATCTTCTTCCATGGAATCTGCAGGAGTGGCAAATTTCCTTTTGACTTGAAGTTTGTGAACTCTCCTTGGCAGATCTGGCTGGCTGATCTGGGCGGCCATGACAGATTCCAGGTCCTCATTCTCTTTTACAACTTTCTTCCCTTCAGATTTTTTGGTAAGTTGTGGAGGGGCCAGAACAAAAATATTCTCCATAACATCAAGAAACCGAGGATGGAAGTAGTCCCGCCACCAACTCTTGTAAGAGGAAGTGCAGCTTGGTCTGAATGGAGGGTCTGGTAGGATCAGTGTCTGCAGAGTTTTGGAGATGTCAGCTAGTTTGGTAACCAAAATCTTTGAATCTCCAATTATAAACCGAAGAGGATAGCTGTAGTTGAAGGTAAATAGTGGCGGGAATGGTATGTCTTGGCAGTACCCTAACTGCCGACAGAATTGGTTCGGTGCATAAAGCTCCATGCCACATCTGGAGTTGAGAGTGTTCAAACTACAGCCAACAAACAAATCCCGGTAGGTTACACAAACAGACCAAAACGCTCTGAAATCTGGGGAACTGACATCGGCCCTGTACCATGAAGGACCGTGAGATCTGCCAAGAAACACAGCAAAGTCTGCATCGGGTCACTCAACAGACAGAGAAGCAAAAAACTTGAGGCACTCCTCGAAGTTCTTCTCGTTCTCCACGGCATTCTTGAACATGAAGCCGTAAGTGAGTAGATCCCGGGCTGGAACAGCGGATGAGACAGGAGCTAGGGCTGGAAAATAAGAATACAACCACAACTGCAAAACCCAAAGCGGCCCACCACTAATGACGGGGTGAGCCGTGATATCTTGGCAACTCCTGTACAAATGAGCAAGCAAAAAAGGACCCAGAACCATTTGTTTGCCATGTGCTAAAGTAACCGCCAAGGAATAAACTCTTTAGTGGGACCTTTACCAGCAGAGCAGACTATATATTTGCCAATCAAAGTAAGCAAAAATGAAATATGCTCATCAGCACTGACAGGCTTACTTTTATCATAGGCAGAACTCATGAAAGCTGGATAAGAGGGCTTCAACTCCGCATTGTACTCAACGCCTGGAGGCAGGGTTAACAATGCTGAAATTTCTTCTCCAGTACAGGGCAATCCGGTTAACGAGCTGACATCAAAAAGGCTCACAGACATGGCTCCACAGGGAAAATGGAAACAATTGAAAGAGCCAGACCAAAATAACAAAGCTGCACCCAAGACCGGCTTGTCCATGGTGAATCTGCATTTGGTGAGTTGTATAAATTCAAACAAGCCTGCATCTCTCCAAATTTGACCGAAAGCAGGTTCCAGACGGTTTATCCAGTCAGTCCATTCTGATTTTCTCCAAACCGGCCAAGCACCAAAAGAGCCAATCCATTTATTCCAGTCAGGTTTTACCTGGAAGGGGAGAAGATGTTCTTTGGGCTGTGGGTAAATGGAGGCAAGAGGGGCCGGCGGATGAGACACAAAATAAGGGCCCAAAATCTTAGATTTTTTGTGCGGAACAAAAGTTTGGTTTGAATGGCATGGCTTCTGTTTTTGGAGTATCCTGTTCATATCATCTTGAAGATTTTGGTCTTGGAAGAGTTTAATCAACTCTGGTGGAGGTGGTCTTAAGCAATGAATGGCCTTTGGACCGGCCATGGGAGCAGATCCGGTTGGCATGGACTGTTCTTCTCGATTATGAGCCATGGAGATGATCTTGGCAAGGGAAGGTTGTTCGGCAGTGGGAGCCACCGGACACAAGCCGGACAGACCTGCACACATAAAAAAAGGTAGTCAACCAACAGTCACAAGAGGAGTCTCGGCAGTGGGAGCCATCGGACATGAGCAAGACAGTGTTTTGTGAATAAAGTGTGAAAGAAAAATAGCCAACAGCTACCTGTGAAGCAAGAAGAATCTCCGGGGGGACCACCGAGCAGATCTGGACAAACAAGCAAAGGAAGAGTGCAGCCGGCGGTAAAGTAAAGTGAAATGGAAGGGGAAAGTCGGTGAAGATGGCCCATGGAGGTTGAAGAAGGTAAAGTAAAATTAGTTTTAATTTTCAAAAAGTCCCTGCCTTTGGGATTTGTTTTGAAAATTAAGAGATTTTACTTAAAATGGAGGAGACTTTTCAATGGGGCCATTGACGTAGAAATAAAAGAAAAAAAAAAAAAAAGAAGAAAAGGAGAGTGCAACCGGCAATGACCCAAAAGGAAAATAAAAAGAAAAGTAAGTTTGCCTTTTCCTTACTTTTTGGCTTTTGGAAATTAAATGAATTTTGAAAGGAGTGGCTGGGGTTTATCTAGAAAATTGTTTCAGGAGATATTTGTGAAGTTGCTTTTAAAGAGGATTTGACATGTGGCATAAGTAATTATGGCGTGGGAGGTAATTTATTTAATGAAAACATTTGGATTTATCTTAATAAAATCAAGTGTTAGGGGTATTGTTTACACCATAAATTACAAAATTTTAAATTAATGTCACGTGTAAAATTTTTATTAGCGGGAGGAGTTTGAACCATGTCAGATTCAGATTCTGGGTCCCATAACAGATCAGCACATGTGTTGGCAAGATAGGAGAGGTAAAGATAATGTTTTATGGAGTGATTATCTTCTTGAAACAGAAAGAGATAATGGCAGCTGGAAAATAGGGGAGAATCACAGTTTTAAAGGAGATTTTATCTGATAAAGCACAGGTGGCGAAATCTGAAAGGAGATTAGACTATGTCAAAAGGTGAGGTGTCCCACTACTCCAATAAACTAACCATGATTGAGTAACTACCGACACAAGAAGAACAAAAAAGGAACTTTGGCAAGAGGAACAAACGGCCAGCCCTACTCAAACAACTGCAACTTTTCATACTTTGATTTTCTCTGCACATGCTTCCAGATTTCAGTTTTTTCAGCACAGATTTCGTATTTCAGCACAGATTCCATTAGAATTAAGTTGTTTTTCCTCATTCCAGTAGACAAATTTATTCCTATATTCAGTTAAAACAATTTTCCTTCATGCAATGAACTTCAATCCTCCAAGTTTATACAAGGTATTGTTTTCTTTTCATTTGTAATTAATTTAATGTTTATGTTAAGTAGCATTGCTTCAATGATTACTTATGTGGCCTTCAAGCTTCTTTCCAATTTCAAGTTTCTTCAATTTATTCACTGTTCACGTTATTTATTCACTGTTCACGTTTAATTTCAGTGCTAATTAAGTTTAAGTTTCCAGATTTGCAGCAATTTAATTTCCGAATCTGTCAATATATTGCACTTTTAATTTTACCATAAGCAAGTTTAATTTAATTTGGGAACACTTCTTTCTCGTAAGTTTATTTTAAATTGCAAGTAATTTAAAATAATTAGGATTTTTTAATTGTAAGTCACGGTAGTGTTTAAGTCCTTGGAGTTGTCCAAGGCAGATTTCGTAACCCATTCTGGAGGAAGGAATCCCTCCCTCTTGCAAATCGTCTGAAGGTGCAAATTTCATTTTAATCCAGCATTCTTCCCGCCATCTGCAAAGAGATCGACAGTGAGGAAGGAGAGGATCATTGGAAAAGTCCTCATTTCTTACTTTCAACAAAGTAAGTGGCACGCCCGCATCAGATTTCACACATGTGAGGCCACTAGAAGATTTTTGAGGAAACAATAGGTGTTTGGTAAATTTATATATTTTGAAATCGTTACAACTAAAATATTTGGTAAAATTTTTATTTAGCGGTTTAAGACTAGCGGATAGTGATTAGGGTGTAAATCGCTAGCGAATTGAAAAAGTTAGTTTATGTAGCTTTTTATACCAAACCGCTAACGAATTAAAATTTTTTTATTTTATTGACAAATTTATCCATTTTAATTTTTTAGTTTGTGGTCACATTTTTTAATTAATAATTAT